CTTCTCTGCATGTGTGTGTGTATGTGTCTATATATATATATAATTTGGGTCTCCAATTCAAAGCTGCCTTTTTGTGTATATATATTATCCTTCCGAGTCCTTCACTTTCCAAAGTATGAAATTTGATCTCCAAACTTTGCATCCAATAGCCAATGTAGTCCTCGTACTTTGGATTTTACCTTTTTTTTTTTACTATTTTGCATTCTTTTCTCCAATTCATCATCAAACATAAAGTTTTACCTACAAAATGCAATATAACATATATTAGGTAGAGTTTTATCCAGATGACAATAAAATATCATCATTTAGGGTCTATAGACACGTATATCTCTTTCAAAACGTTTCTTACAAGTATCTATTGATATAATGCATAATAATTGTTAAGAAAATAAAAGGATAAAATTCAATATGAAAACACATATTGAAGGAACTGATGAAGAAGATATGAAGAAGATTTATTATTCATCAAGCTCAAATGTAAAGGTAAATTACAAAGGATATTTATAGACTAATTCAACTGGTGTAACAAACTAATCTAACAACTAACAAACTAATAGATGGAAGAAGGAACTAGAAAAAGCTACAATAAGGAAGAAGAGACTGGAAGCATGTGTTGAATGTGATATGCCACTTGCAGGAGCTCAGCTGAATATGCACGTGTGATCTGCTGTGCTTAACTAAATTAATATGCAACTTGCATATATTCCAACACTCCCCCTCAAGATGAAGCATCTTGAACTTCGAGAAGAGAACAGAGATGCAGCAAGTGGTGGAAGAAATCTGTAGAAGACCAGAGGTCGACAATAACGTCCGACGGAGAAGCAATCAAGAAAGATAAAGCAGATCAGATTCTGATCCAAAAACGGCAAAATAAATTCAACAGGAACAAGTGAGCAACCATGGCTCTAAAATCGAGCATTGCTGAAGACATCATCAACATTGATGAGTAAAGAAAAAAAAACTTGGAAATGCTATTAAAACTCCAGAAAGGACTGAAAGTAAAAACCACCAGTGCAATCTCCATGGAATCTTGCCTCTCTCTCTGATTCCAGCCGGGTGTTGTTCACCACAATGGCATGTTTGATTTGTGAATCTAATATGAGAGGGAAGATGTTGGAAGAGGAGAATACATTAAAATTCCAACTGATAAGGCAGCAACCAGAATTCCAGCCGCAAGAAATTTCTCACGTTGAACAGCAAAGCCTTCCTTCTTCTTCCAGTAACAGAAAATGTAGATGAAGAATCAAGAGTAGATTGTGGAGAAGGAACTCTGTTCTGGTACCATGTTAAAATAAAAGGATAAAATTCAATATGAAAACACATATTGAAGGAACTCATGAAGAAGACATGAAGAAGATTTATTATTCATCAAGCTCAAATGTAAAAATGAATTACAATGGGTATTTATAAGACTAATTCAGCTGGTGTAACAAATTAATCTAACAACTAACAAACTAACAGCTGGAAGAAGGAACTAGAAGAAGCTAGAATAAGGAAGAAGAGACTGGAAGCATGTGCTGAACGTGAGAGCTCGATATGCCACTTGCAGGAGCTCAGCTGAATATGCACGTGTGATCTGCTGTGCTTAACTAAATTAATATGCAACTTGCATATATTCCAACAATAATGTTCTTGCAACTAGTCAATATTAATGGAACTTTGAAGAAAAAAGATTGATTATAAGATCAATACTTGAAATGCTTATGTTTGGTACATTGTATTCAATGGTACGGTATTCCATAATACAATCCGATGACAATTTAACTTCTTTAATCATTATCCAGTACGGCACCATGGGAGATTCACCTGCCGACCGTATTTCTTGCTGTTTGATGAATTCGTCAAAATTGCCGATTCCGAGCTAAATTATTGGCTTTTGAGATTTTAATTCCTCCATAGCAACATCTGCAGTGCTGTTTTCTGCTGTTTTGTACCTGTAATACTTTGAGCAAATCAAAAAGTATCCCAAATTCAACACTTCTAGACCAGCAACCAGGTAATAAAAGTAATCCAATCTCGCCTTGTTAAGATCTTCAGACAACCAATTTTCTGTTATCCCCACTCTCNTCAGCTGGTGTAACAAACTAATCTAACAACTATCAAACTAACATCTAGAAAAAGGAACTAGAAGAATCTAGAATAAGGAAGAAGAGACTGGAAGCATGTGCTGAAGGTGAAACCTCGATATGCCACTTGCAGGAGCTCGGTTGAATATGCACGTGTGATCTGCTTTGCTTAACTAAATTAATATGCAACTTGCATATATTCCAACAATAATGTTCTTGCAACTAGTCAATATTAATGGAACTTTGAAGAAAAAAAGATTGATTATAAGATCAATACTTGAAATGCTTATGTTTGGTACATTGTATTCAATGGTACGGTATTCCATAATACAATCCGATGACAATATAACTTCCTTAGTCATATCCAGTACGGCACCATGGGAGATTCACCTGCCGACCGTATTTCTTGCTGTTTGATGAATTCGTCAAAATTGCCGATTCCGAGCTAAATTATTGGCTTTTGAGATTGTAATTCCTCCATAGCAACATCTGCAGTGCTGTTTTCTGCTGTTTTGTACTTGTAATACTTTGAGCAAATCAAAAAGTATCCCAAATTCAACACTTCTAGACCAGCAACCAGGTAATAAAAGTAATCCAATCTCGCCTTGTTAAGATCTTCAGACAACCAATTTTCTGTTATCCCCACTCTCGTTGTCCGATGAACGACTGATATCAAGAAACTGCTCAAATAACTCGCCATTGCAGCTGCACAAAACAGGAAAGATCCAGCAAAACTACGCATGTTTTCCGGGAACTGTTTGTAGAAGAATTCAATTAGCCCAATGACGGTAAATGCCTCGGAAATTCCGGCTATTGCCAACTGAGGTATCAACCAGGAACCGGACATGGACGAAATTGCGCCTTTTCGAGGCACGAGGCCTAATGTGGGATGCGTTGCGGCCAATGTCCTCCTGTGGTTTTCGACTAATGCTGATACAAGCATTGTGACTATACCAAGTACCATTCCAATCCCGATTCGCTGGAGGAGACTAATGCCTTCTTCCTTTCTTGAGATTCGTCGGAGTAGAGGGACGATGAGCCTATCATAAATGGGAATCCAAATTGAGAGGCTCAACATCATGAAAACAATGTAAGATGCAGCTGGGATTTGGAATTTGCCACTTCCTAGGTGTCTGTTGCTTTGGATGGCTTGGAATACTACATATGTCTGCATTTGTGCTAGGACGACATGGTATATTATGCCTGCAATCCATATGGGAATTACTCTAATCACACATTTCACCTCTTCCACTTGCTGGATACTGCAAAGACCCCATGGATTGGCTGCAGATCCATCCGTATTGATTTCATCGTCTTCTGTGATGATTGCTGCTTTATTTAGGAACCTGAATTATAAGACGCTTAATTAGTTCCTTATGTGAACGAAATGTTTGGTATGCTGTATAGACTGTACAGATAACAGTTGACCTTGTGATTTAATGAAACAAGTGAATGCCACAGGCCAAAGATTGTTACCTTAGTTGGTCAGAATAAGCAAGCTTTGAGTTGATTGAATTAGGTGAGAGGTAATTAAACAGAGTACTCCAAGGTTGCTCTGGCAAACTCAATTTTCTCTTCTTAAATGCAACAACTAGTGTTCGAGCAATACTTGTCAAGGGACTACCTTCTGGCAGTACTTTGACATAAATTCTGCTACCAACGAAGAAGAAGGCGCATGACAAGAACATCAGAAACGTGGGAATGCCCAATCCGATAGCCCAATTCACGTTTGATTGCACGTAGACGATGAGTGTCAGAGATATCATCATGGCAAAAGTGAATGTGAAGTAATACCAATTGAAAAAGCTGTTGATTCCCTTTCTCCCTGAATCTGTATTGGGATTGAATTGATCCGCTCCAAACGCTAAGTTACATGGTCTTATGCCACTAGCCCCGACTACCAGCAGTCCAAATGAACTAAACAAGAATGCAAGTTGCCATGGTGTTGGATCAACACATATGCTACTCTCTTCTGCTCCACATTTAGGAGGATGTAGAGCTGAAACTGCTGCTGTCATTGTTAACACAAGCATCCCCTGTAATTAACACGACTATTATTCGAGTTTGAACAAATTTACATTTGAGTCTACTCCATAGAATGAAGGATTATGAACAGAAATTATACCAGGAAAGAGGAAATCGAAGCAAATCCGAGAGTCTTATATCGGCCTAGATAAGTATCTGAGAGAAAGGCACCAAACAATGTTCCAAAATTGCAAGTCCCATTGAAGATATTGATGAGATTAGTGGCAGAAATAGAGCTCATGTTGAACACTGTACTAAGGTACACCAACATGTTAGAAGATGTTCCAATTGTTCCCAGCTTCTCAAATGTCTCATTACCTGCAAGGTTTTCCAAGCATTTTTCAAAATTAGTGTAACTTCTCACAAAATTCATAAACATTTACTATATTCAATCCTAATCGATAGAGCACAAACAATTTCTATATCCGAGGAGGGGAGTTTGCACAAAATGCAACTCCAAGAAAAGATTATTTGATACAGATTTAGCAAAAAATAACATAACATGAAGCTAAGATTTCAACTCTTTTTGTGGATATTTACCTATAACAAAAGGCATGGCTTTGATTCCTCTGTAATTAGGCTCTTTCTTAGTAACAGCAACCTCATTTTTCTCCATGTCCATGATTAGACCAAAAGAACACTGTTTTTTCTCTTCTCTGAGATTTCTAGCAAAGGGATTTTTTCTATTTTTATTGTTTCAAATGTACGAATGGCATAATGCAAGAGTGAAGATAAAGCTATTTTATAGATGGGGAATCCGACAAAATTGTTGACACCTCCATGTGGTACAAGATTGCAGGCGGTTTGAGTGATATTTGTAAGTATGAAAGCTGTCGACAATAATGTTACTTATGCTACGTTGCGCGTTAGGAAAATTGAAGAGCACAAAATTTTTGAACAAACTGTGAAACTTAGGAGTTACTTTTTTTTGTCTTATGTTCATTAATTGACGCGATTAAAGACTATGTCCATTATCACATTGAATATGGCATTATATATTATTATTCTCTTTGTTTCGTTAATGCTGAATATAGTCCTACCTCCATCTTATAAAATAGGTTTATTTTTTACTTTCATACAAATTAAGAAAATGTAAATAATAAAATTGAAAATATAATTTTTTTTATATTTTTCCTAATGTACTAAATAATGGTTTAAGCCCTTGTTTGAGTCTCATTTCATCAAAAAAATAATTTTTCAAATCTCATTTTCATCCACACATTCACCAATAAAATAATATTTATAGGATGAGAGTAGTACTATTATTGAAATTCAAACTTAGAATCGTTGAATATGTTGGCATTAAATGTTTGCCAACTTTGAGGGCATTTTATGTTATATTAATAGGTTATAATTAATTATTGCAGCGAGGTCTGTTGAATTTGTTGGATCTAACTAAGGTTATTAAATAGTTATAGTAACAAAATTTGTCGATGTGAGATTTTTTAGGTCTAGATAATGTCTACTTTTTTGTAATGTAAACATGACGTAGTACTTAATTATTGTTCCAATTTTCAAGTTTTCAGATCTCGTTATTCTCGTAAAAAAAAGTACAATCATAATTCAAGTTCGATCGATAAGATTGTTATAGTATTACGAGGATGTTTGGTAGAGATTAAAATCGGATTAAAATTGAAAAACTAGTCGTTATTATTGACTTTTATTAGATAAGTGGGACCCAATAACGGCTATATTTTCAATTTTAATTGGATTTTGAGTCGTACCAAACAGACCCTATATAAACTCTTGGACAAAAGCGTTGTATTTTAAGAGTCGGACTTTCAGTTATCCTTCAAATTGGCCAAATCCGTATTTAAGATGCTTTTATTTCCTTGAATTTTATGTTTTCTATTATCGTCCGACAACATAACCAACTGACGTGTACACTTACATATGTTATTCTAACCTTTTAGACAAGTGACCGACCTTCAGAGTTCAGGCTGGAGAAATTGGACCCTTCCATCTGATGTAGATGTTTATCATTGCGAATAATGGAGTTCCGTGTGCCAATAATGTGCTAATTTGTGTGACGCAAGTGTTCCCAACTTTCCATGAGTGTTCACACGGGTCTAATGATTACAAGCCTACTTTTGCGCAATACTATATTTTTTTGTACAATTATTGATTTATTTCTATCGGATTTGAGTGGATCATAATTTATTTTCTATTTCTTTGAATATTTCAAGTGTGCCGAACTCTCATTGTGGAGCATTTTGTTGAGCTACTGGAATAGATTTGGAGTTTGATAGCACGTGGAGTTTGATAGATTTGGAGTTTGATAGCCCTAGCTCTTCCCTATAAATATTGAATTTTTGTTGTTAATGAAATAAACACAAGTCTATCGACTGCTCTATATTTGTCTCTTTTCTCTCTATTTTATAACACGTTATCAACATGAAATTCTAGACAACTAAGTTAGCAAAATTTATTTTTCTTTCTGCTTATAAATCTCTAGCCCGTTGAGGGTTTTTTTTCCTTCAATCAAATAAAGTAAAAAAATTATAGGCAATTGAGTTTACAAATGAACTCTTCTTTTTGTTCAAAGAAAATGTCAGTTTTTTTAACTTTAAATTACATGCCAAATAGGTATGGTTGTACGATTTGATTAAATCGAATTGACTATACTAATTTATGATAGATAAATATTTAGTTGAATGTAATTTTTTTGTTCAATATTTCAGAAGAATATTGTAACATTGCTTGAAAAGGAATATGATATTTTTATTATCTTGTTGCTCCTGAAGAAGCAAAAATTCATACATAACAATATATAATAATATTTCAAAAGAATTTTGTAGCATTGCTTGAAAATGAATATCATATTTATATTATTTTGTTTCTCCTGAAGAAGCAGAAATTCATACATAACAATAGCTAATAATAATAATAATATTGGATTATTACTTTGAAAATTTATAATATTTGTGCATATCATATTCTAGACGAATTTCATGTCGATGTTTTTTGTGAAACATAACATTACAAATTCAATAATTAAGAAGAATATTGATTCGTTGCTCTTAAATAAGTAATCGTAACATCATTTTTAAACGAAAAGGTGATAATAATAACAATATTTTTTATAGTACTTTAGAAGTAGCACAAATCTTGAAAAAAATAATATATCTGAGATACTTTCTATATGAAACGTTTTATAAAAACAAGTTGTTTGTTCTAACAGAATCACAACTTCACAAATCTATAAATATTCTAGAAAAATATTTTAAAGTTTAATAATAATATTATGATATTACTTGTAAAGAGCAAATGTTATATGATTAATAATAATTTATTAGTGTTGCTGAAGAAGAACAAATTAAATAACTTAGTTTTCAGTTATTTTTGAGGAAAAGTAACTTTCTATTTTGTTAATATTCCACAAAAATATCAAGCCCCTATTTGGCCAGCATTGTTTGGAAAAAATAATGTTTTGAATAATGATATTTAGGAAAATATATTGTTAAAAAAGTAGTGTAAATTACTGTTGCGTTTTTTTTTATATCGCAAGTGTACGATATCGTAATAAGTAATATAATGAACCTTTGAATCCGGATTATCGTTCCCACGAGAACTATACTCTAGTCTTAATCTACTTTTCCTACTCCTTTTTGATGAAAGTAAACAAATAAAGAATTGATATAATTGTGACTATTGATTTTCTATAATGAAGTAAATACCTAAAACTAATGGAAATTATGATAAAATGTCAAACAATGATTGATCAAAGATTCACGTATGTAAGAAATATTAGGGCAAAACAAATTCATCTAATGATCACCTTAATTCCTAATTCAAGATTCTAACATAATGTAGTGTTCGGTCGAATTCTCCTATGGTAACCGCTCTCGAGTTCTCATTAAGTCTATTCAACTAATTCAATTACATATCTCTATGCGAATTACCCTTAGTTAAACGAATTTTAGTTCTAGGAATTCCTATAACGACCGCAATACTTAGTATAGGTATCTCTACACATTATACTTTGCTATCGAATTTTATTATACTTTTTAAGCCTCAAATTTGCCTCTCGATTTGTATGAAACTCAATTGATCATCAAATTATTGGCCAGATAATTCAAATCATTAAATCATAATAAAATCAACACATGGAAGAATAAACTACAGAAGTCTTGAATTAAAGAATTAAGGGTCACAAAAGATTACATTGTTTGCCTTAAAGTAGAATTTAGTTAAACATGAAGTAAAAAGATAAAATAATTAAACATATTCGAATACATCACCAGATTTAAATGACTAAAAATATGGAATAGAATCAACTCTTGCGCCAAGATCTTCTTCCGCTTCCAATCTTTGATTTGAACTCGAATCTGTGATGAATTTCTTCTCGTGAATTTCCTCTTCGATCTCTCCTTGTATATTTATTTTTTCAATGTATGCAACTCCTAATTCGTCCCTCTTCTTATCTATTTATACTCCCCTCAAGTCTATGGCCAAATTGGAGTCTTTTTCTGGGCTTTTCGCGGGCCAAAACACCTACCCTAAACTTTGTGGCATAGTACCTAGGTGCTAGGATGCAGCGCCGCAAATGGAATACGGGTGCTGCCTTGCTACACTTCTTGATACCGGGAGCTGCCTCACTGGAGTTTTCTGCTTCTGCTTTCTTGGGCAGCGCCACGCTGTCTCACTGACATTTTTTATTTTCTTCATTTTATGGCGCTTAGGCGCCAATTTTCTGTCCATTTCTCCTTGCAATACCTCCATTTTTTACTTAATCACCATACCTTCGAAACAACTAGCACACACATTAAAAACGTTCTATAACTATAAAAATTTGGCAAATAATTAAGTTAATTCGGTATAACATTCATGTGTAAACACACTCATCAATTACAGTGTCCTCTACTGACACAAGTGTAGTTGTTAGGAACAAATAAATGATATACTTCAAGGCATAAAGCTTGAACCACTTTGGCTTTGGCTTTGGATTGACGAACCAAATTGGTTGTGGAGTTAATAGAGGACCAATCTAGGTTATTGGGTCGCATGAGGGTAGCCTTGGTGGTTTGGGGTTGTACGTCGTGTCAGAGTGAGGGTCACATGATTGTTTTGTACTTGATTCGTCTAAGAGGTTTTTCTTTTGCAATGCACCTACGTGGTGTATGATGGGTGTCGCCCTCAGCATGGCCCTAAGTTGCACTCCATGCGATGTCCACATGGATATGAGGAGTAACAATAGTCCTTCAGGCCCAAGTTTAACAACATTTATATTTGTTATTGGACTTCGATGGTGACATTTGCAGATGAACTAAGTTTGAGTAAGAGTGTCAGTGGCTTATTCACTAGCCTTACATGAACCTTTTTAAGTACAACACTAATGATGGATGAAAACAAAGCAAAAATTAACTTAACAAATTTGACACTTGAAAGATTAAATATTGTTGTTATTGTTGTTGAAATTAATTGATAAGGAGTTAAATAATTAATTGTGATATTTAATTATGTGGGTCATTGCAATTAATTTGGGTGAATTGGAAAAGTCTCCAAATATATAGGCCCATATGTTGATAAGCCCATTTTAAGTGTCTTATATATGGTAAGGAATCCCACATCGAAAGTTCACAAGAAAAAAGACTTGTTTATATAGTGGGATGTGTGTATAAG